AAAAAAAAAACAAAACTATATATATATATATATATATATATATATATAATTTGCATTGGTGTTTTTTGGGCATGTATGTCTGTGTGAGGGTGTCAGACTTTCAGTTACAGATGGTTGTCAGCTGCCATGTGGGTGCTGAGAATTGAATACGGGCCCTCTGCAAGAGCAGTCAGTGCTCTTAACCACTGAGCCATTTCTTCAGCCCGTGTATGATTTTTTTTTTTTTTTAATGATGGGCTATGGTCAAAACTCTTGATGCATAATAGTTCAACACAGAATAATCCTGACAATACTAATATTATGCATAAGGCTATCTGAGCTTGAAGAGCTACAAAAAGCAGTTATTTCAGGTAAATATTCCAATATAAGTTGTTATTTTATTGAGTCCTAGAATGAGGTGTAAGGAGTAAGGCTTCTACTTTGTTACCACCCAGTCTTCACTGAGTGTACAGAAATGGGTATACTTGACTTCAGCTCCAGCAATCACTAATAACATTTCTATGAAGGGTTTGCATAGGCCAACCTCCTACTCTTTCCCTCCCAGCAGAAGTAAAAGCAGCCGGCGCTCAACGTCCCAAAACGAAAATGCAAAACCTCATCTAAAACTAGAACTCACTTTACTGTCCAGAGTCGTGGAAAAGGACAAACTGGAAACTCAAGCCCAAGGCCGAATCCCAGATGCTAAACAAATGTAACAATACGATGAGAAGAAAGCTCCAACAGTTGCACCAAAACTGCAGTAAGGAAAATCTAAGTACTCATGCGTTACTGCACTTTCCTACAACAAATGAGCATCAAAAATCATGCCACATGCAACGATTTATCTGCTCTCAATACACACTGCGCAAACACAACATTCTGAATCTCTGGCAAAAAAAAAAAAAATCTGTCTCATGATTTGACACCCAAATACTCCTAAAGCTGTTGGTTTCTTCATTGTGAATGTCTTTAAAACATGGTAACTTGCTTTAACAACCTTACAAGAACTCAACTTGAGAGAAACCCAAATTCATTCAGTGACCAATCCAATCAGTGGAAACGACCATGCCAACTGCATCCCACGTACAAGCACTATCTTCTGAAGCAGAATAAAAGCGGCAGCAGTCCATCGACCGCATGCATGCTAGACTAAGTAAAACTGAAAATAGTTACCCCAGCCCTCGCGACTACACACTCCTGAGGAAAGAGACCCTCAGCGACTCCCGAGAACCAACTGGAGCAGGAGGAGAGAGCAAGGCAGCCGCGCCCGCAGCGCGTCAGGCGGCACACAGAAACTTCTAGGGGGCACTTTTCGGTCAGCACCAAGGCCGCAGGCGGCGTGCCCCGGGGGTCTCTCCGGCGCCGCCCTCAGCGCCGCTC